CTCACATGCCCATTTACTCACCAACATGTTGGCAAAATATTCCATAAACTTATTCACTCACATTGGGACTTGCTTAGTCCAACTGGCTCTGCTGCCATCTTCTCAAAAATCCAAAAGATGTTTCTTATCTTTCTTTTTAAAAATAGCTTAAAATATCAAACTCGTAGGAATATATCTTTTAAAATGTGCAAAACTTCTATGCAAAAAACTATAAACATTAGAGAAATTAGTGAATACCCAAATAAGTGGAGAGAAATTATACTCATGGCTTATAAAACTCAATAAAATTCCAGCTCTGTGTACATAAACGTGTACAGGTATGTGAACTTTGGTAATAAAATCCTAAAATTTTTACAAAATTCAAATGGGCAAGAATAGCTGGGATGTTACTGAGGAAAAAAAGGTTAGAGGAAAATATTTTCTTTATTGTATACCAAGACTCATTATAAAGCTACTGTGAGTAGAAGTAGACCTTGATACTGGTTTATGGATAAAAAAACAAATAGAGCAAGAGGGAGAATTCAGAAACACACACACACACACACACACTTCAAAACTTGATTTTTTTTCATTTTTTTTTTTTTTAGTCAGAGTCTCACTCTATAGCCCAGACTTCAGTACAGTGGCTCACCACAGCCTCCAGCTCCTGGGCGTAAGTGATCCTTCCTTCTACTTCAGCCTCCCAAGTAGCTGGGACTGCCAGCACCCCCACACATGATTTTTTGTAGAGACAGGGTCTCACTGTGTTGCCTAGGCTGGTCTAGAATTCCTGGGCTCAAGCAATTATCCTGCCTTGGCCTCTCAAGTACTGGGATTTCAGGCATGGGTCACTGTGCTTGGCCTGAAACTTGATTTTAAGACATATGTTGCCTTGCATATCAGTGGAAAAATGTCAATCTTTTCTATAAATGATTCTGAGTCACTTGTGTATGTACTTACAAAAATTATTTTAAAATTACCCCACCACTCACTGTACAAAAAAGTCAATTCCAACAAAATTGTAAGCCTAAATGTGGACAACAAAACAATAAGAGTTTAAAGATAATTTAGAGTAATATTATAACTAACTTGGGGCAGAGAAAGTATTCTTTAACAAGATATTTAAAAAGTATGAACCATGAAGAAAAATCATGATACACTGAACTTCATGAAAATTAAGAACTTTTGTTTATTTAATAATACCTCATTAAGAGTGGAGAGGAAAGTCACAGATTGTTGGAATATATGTATACACATTTTCACAAGGTGGATATGTACATGAATGCACTCATAGTATTTATAATATTTCAGAGCTAGGAGTGACATAAATAAGCATATAAAGTAGAATGAACAAATGAATTATAGAATATTTATCCAATGGAATGCTATATAGAAATGAAAATACAAGAAGTACAATATGCAAAAAACTGTCAGAACTAATAAACAAATTCAGTAAAGTATAGGATACAAAATCAACATAAAACCAGTAGCATTTGCATACATAAATAACAGTCTAGTTGAAAAATAAATCAAGAAAACAATCTCATTTATGGTAGCATAGAAAATATTCAGGAATAAATTTGACCAAGGAAGTGAAAGATTTGTGTACTGAAAACTATAAAACATTAATGAAAGAAATTTAAGACATACATAAATAAAAAGATATCTTATGCTCAGGGATCATTAATTAATATCCAATTAATTAATAGAATTAATACCGTTAAAATGCCCATACTACCCGAAGTGATCTACATATTCAAGTGTAATCTCTATGCAAATCCCAATGCCATTCTTCACAGAAATAGCCTAAAATTTGTATGAAATCACAAAGACCCTGAATAGCCAAAACAATTTTGAGAAAGTGCAAATTTGGATACCTCACACTTCCTGTTTCAAAATCATATTACTAAGCTATAGTAATCAAAATAGTATAGTACAGTCACAAAAACTGACACATAGACCAGCATAACAGAATAGAAAGTGCAGACATCAGTGTAAACTTATACAGTCAACTAGTTTTTAACAAATGCACCAGTAGGACACAATGGGGAAAGAATAGTCTCTTCAATAAATAGTGCTAGAAAGCGTGGATTTCCACATGTAGAAAAATAAAATTGGATCCTTTTCTATACACAAAAATCAATTCAAGATGGATGAAAGCCCTAAAATCATAAAACTCCTAGCACACAGTGAAAAAACTCCTTGACATTCGTCTTGTCAATGATTTTTGACAAAGTTCAGGTTACAAAAGCAAAAATAAATGCATGATACTATTTTTAAAAAATCTAACTGAACACAGTGGCATGCACTTGTAATGCTAGCTACTCAGGAGGCTGAGGCAAACAATTGCTTGAGCCTAGGAGTTCCAGGCCATCCTGGGCAACATAGTGAGAGCCTATCTCAAAAAAAAATCATGATAAAATAAAATAAAAAACGTCTGCATAGCAAAGGAAATAATCAACAGAGTGAATAAACAATCTATGGAATGAGAGAAAATATGAACAAATCATCTATCTGATATGGGTTAATAACCAATTTTTGAATTGGAGTCTCACTCTGTCACCCAGGCTGGAGTGCAGAGGTATGCTCACAGCCACCACAGCCTTGTCCTGCTGGGCTCAGGTGATCCTTTCACCTCAGCTTTCCAAGTAGCTGGAACTACAGGCATGAGCCACCATGCCTGGTTAGCTTTTTGACTTACTATAGAGATGAGGTCCTACCAAGTTGCCCAGACTGGTCTCAAACTTGCAGGCTCAGGCAATCCTCTCACCTCAGCCTCCCAAAGTGCTGGGATTATAGGCATGAGCCACCACGTCCACCTAATAAAATTATTTGTTTAAAAACACATACATCTCAATAGTAGAAAAACAAATAATCCAATTAAGAATGGGCAAAGGACAAAAATAGGCATTTATCTCCAAAGAAGACAAAAAAATAAAAAGGTCAATGGAAAGGTGCTCAGTATCATCATCAAGGAAATGCAAATCTAAACCACTATGAGATATCATCTCACACTTGATAGGATGGCTATTATAAAAAGGTCAAGTGATAACAGATGTTAGCAAGGGTGTGAGGAAATCACCATTGGTAGGAATGAAGATTGGAGCAGCCATTATGAAAAACAGTACGGAAGTTCCTATAGAAATTAAAACAGAGCTACCATATGATCCAGCAATCTTTCTTCTGGGCATGTACTCAAAGGAAATGAAGTCACTGCCTCACAAAGAAATCTGCCCTCCCATGTTCATTGCAGGATAAAACAATATGTGTCTGTCAATGAATAACTAAATAAACTAGAGAGAGAGAGAGAGAGAGAATATTATTCAACCTTTAAAAAGAAGGACATCCCGCCATTTGCTACAACATGGGCAAAACTGGAGGACATACTACTAAGAAAAATAAACCAGACACAGGAAGAAAAATATTGCATAATGACCTATATATAAAATCTATTTTAAAAAGTCAAATATACTGAAATAGAGAATTAAATAGTGATTATGAAGAGCAGGAGTAGAGATAGGGAGGAAATAAAGAATACAAAATAGTAGATATATAGGATGAACAAGTCTAGAAATCTGAGATACAACATGAAGGCTACAGCTAATTTAAATTGTACTGCATTTGGGATTCATCCTAAATAAGTAGATTCGAGCTGCTCCTGCCACAAAAACAAAGCAAATAAAAAATGCTAGTTTGCTTTACTACTGTAATCACTTTGCTATCTATTTGTATAGTGTAGCATCATGCTGTATACCTTAAGTAGTCACAATAAAATTTATTTTTTTTAAAAGAGCTATACTATATATAATAACATGCAAGAATTTCAGAATGTGGAGATTTAAAAAAGCCAGGCACAAAAATTACAGACTATACTATTTTATTTATGTAAATCTCAAATACTAACCTATTGTGTTTTGGGCTGTGAGTAGGAGGAAGTTTCTGATATGTCGTTAATAGTCTTATTCTTGAATTGGGTGGTAATTGTAGGTTCCAAGATTTTTGCTTTTAAGGTAATTTGTTTAGCTGTATATTCGTGTCATGTCCTTTTTTGGGTATATTATATATATATACCTTATATACAAAAATAGTATATGTAGTAAGGTTGCTTATGTATATGTGAAGATATATGGGGAGAGCCAAGAAGAAACCAAAATTTATTTATTAAAAATTGCATATTTATCCTACATGTTTAAACTTCAGTCACTTTGAAGTACTCTCCATGTGATGCAATGCACCTTTGAGATGCTTTTTTCCACTGATCAAGTTTTGAACGTGTCAATTTTAATGCCTTTTAGTTTTACCTGTTCCACATCAGCAAAACATTTCCCTTTGAGGAGTTTCTTCATCCAGGGAAACAAAAAGAAGTCAGGTAGGGTGAAATTGGGTGAATAGAGAGGGTGTCATGATGCTTTTGGTTAAAAACTGCTGAACACTAAGCACAGCACGGCAGGTGCACTGCCATGGTAGAAGAGCCAGCCACCTGTTTACTCAGGAGATTTCTTCCACAATGCAGCCTCTTACAAAAACACCAGCTGGTACACTGACACAGATAGATTCCTAAAACACTTACCTAGTGGGGGAGGCCTGTACTATAAGGGACCTACCCCCCAAAAGATAATTCATGGTTTTTTGGAGTTCCCTTCATATAAAAAACCCTGAAAGAATACACAAATGTCTCATACAAGTAGTTATGAATAAGAAGCAAAGACAAGACTCTTGACAATGTACATATTTTAAAAATATATTTTTAGCTTGGTTTTAAGCTGAATGCATTACTTTTAAAAAATTAAATAAAAATACACACAAGTTTTTATTGCCAGATTCAAATAAACTTAAATTTTGTAGAACTAAACTTGAAAATTTGGTAGACTAAATTTAGGCATAAAATTTTACTGGAAAAAATAAAATAACAACTTGAAGAACCATAGAGAAAAGTATTGAAGATTATAATATATAAGTACAAATTATTGGGACTCCTGGCAAGATGGCGGCAGGGCAGCTTGGTCTATGAGACCCTTCACAAAAGAGAACACAAAAAGACTCTGGCTCTCTCCCTGGGGGCTGCAGATCCCATCGTTGGCAGCCTGCTGTTCACACAGAGCTCAGCCGTCGCCACCGCTGAAGCATCACAGCGGTCTGTGTGGCCACTGCAGCTGCAGCCACCGCCACTGCCGCTGCCGTAGCAGCCATCGCACATCGCACTGCCCATGCCTGAGATGACCCACGACTTCAGACCGTGACGCTCCTGCAAGCAAGATCTGCTGAGATCAATGCGGTCACTACTGCCACCGGGACATCCTGCCACGCTGTGGGTCTCCCCCTGTGTGCCATGAGGCAGCAGTTCCCATTGCGGCTCCTATCTAGGGCAAGCAACTGAGATAAAGACCATCTGGAGCACCACCTGCTGGCGATTCAAGGTAACAACACCGAAATGGGAAAAACAGAAGCTTGATTGACAAAGGCCACATCTGAGTGGTGAACTGGGCAGTGGTGAACTGAGAGGTGATCTGAACTGCCCTTTACAGCAGGCCAGGGGCAGCTGACCCTGACTGTGAACAAATTTACCAGGCTGAAAAGACAACTAGAAATCAGAGCTGAAAGGACATTGAACTTAAACAAAAAGTCTCAGAGTGTGGTTGATTGGTTCTGTTAGTTTACTGACTTGATTCTATTTCTTTTCTTTTGTTCCCCAACCTTTTTATCTTTTCCTTTTCTTTTCTTCTCTCTTTAAACCCTATATTTGTATAGAGGAATAGCACACCAATAAGAAGGTTGGTTAGTTTGTATGTTAGCATCATTGTATGTTTTAGTTTTTTCTGTATGGTAGTTGGTTAGTTTGTAGCCATGGTTTATTATTTTTGTCTGTTTTAGCTTTTGTCTCTTTCTCCATTTGTTGGCACACCTGTCTGTTTTCCCCCTTACTCCTCTCTCTTTCCCCCCCAACCCCCACTGTCCGCTCCATTCTCTTCCCTCTGTTAACCTCGTTTTATTTCAGGGAGTAAACCCACAATCCCACTACATGGACAGATTTCAAGGCAGTGGGAAGTGGGTTTCAGATTATCCATACACTTGTCGTCAGATACCAGGATCTGCAGATAGATTTTGAACCACAGCTCCCCACTTAAGTAAATCTCAAAACTGCAAAAAGGACCACCCCCAACCTATAGTCCAACTCCAGAATTGAACAAAGAGGATATACATCAAGAAGAATAGGAGATTGAGCAAACAGAAGTAAAAACAACCCCTCCATCCCTGAATTAAAGAAGACGGTGAAGTGGAGGGAAGGGAAAAGTAGGGAAGAAAAATCTGCACAAATGAAGAAAAACCAAAAGAAGAATACAGGTCTCACACAGACCCCTGGGAGGTCAGACACTGAGGAAACAGACTTTGGAACACAAACAATGAAGAGCCCCCAGAATGACTGGTCACATGCAACAAACCCAGACATCAAGACATTAATAGAGAGAATAAAAAAATTGAGGAGAGACAAGAGGAAAATAAGAAGGAGCTGATGACAGAAATAATAGCAGTAAAGAATACTATGATGGAAATAAATAACAAATTAATAAGCATGGAAAGCAGAATTAGCCAAGCAGAAGAAAGAATCTCAGAGCTCGAAGACCCAAACACAGAACTAACCCAAACTGTCTAAAAACATAGAAAAGAAGTTTAAAAAGACAGAACCAAACCATCAAGAGATGAATGATTACTTCAAGAGAAAAAAAACCTAAGAGTAATTGGCCTTCCTGAGGCAGAAAAACAGAGGTCAAACTGGAACAAATATTTCATGAAATCATTCAAGAAAACTTCCCTCATCTCATCAATGATGCAAAAATTCAAACACAAGAGATTCAGAGAACCCCTGCAAGACAACAAATGAGAAGACCAACTCCCATACACATAATAATTTGCCTAAAGAAGTAGGTATAAAAAAAAAAATCCTAGAGGCAGCAAGAAAAAAAGCCAGACTACCTACCAGGGATAAACAACTAGAATAGCAGCAGATTTATCTACAGAAACCCTCCAAGCTAGGAGAGCTTGGAGCCCTATCTTCAAAGCTCTAAAAGATAAACAATTTCCCGCCTGGGCAGTGAGACCTCGTCTCTACAATAAACCAAAAAATCAGCCAGGCATGGTAGCGCATGCCTGTAATTCCGGCTACTCGGAAGGCTGAGGCGGAAGGCTCACCAGAGCCCAGCAGGACGAGGCTGCAGTGGCTGGGAGTGGCCACTGCACTCCAGTCTGGGCGACAGAGTGAGACTCCAACTCAAAAATAAATAAATAAAATTTTAAAAAAAATTGTAGTCTCTGATTTCAGTCAAAATATGACTTCATAATTTACTTCTTTATTTGCAAAACATCAGGGTGAAACTTTGTTTTACACAGGTTAATTCAGTACTGAAGTTCTAAATCTCTCTAGTTGCATTTATGACTTTCTACTGTCACCTGGTTTCTTCATAACACAATTATCAATAATAAAAATAAGAATCTACAGTTGTATTGTTTTATAGTTTACAAATATCTTCTGTATTATTTCATTTCCCCACTGAGAAAAAAGACTCCCGAATTTAATGACTTGATTAAATTTACACAGACTAAAAACCAACAGCATTTGGAGCTTAACTCTTTACACAGCATGAGTACCTCAGAGTTTTATTTCCTATAGGCAACTCAATATGTCTTCATGCTTTTCTTCAATCCATAGTTTTCTATTTGGGTCATAAGTTTTTTATGTTCTTTATATATAGTTTTAAAATTGTTCTTGTGAACCACACATTAAAGAGCCATAATGCTAGTTTTTGAATGTTGTGTTTTGATGCTCTTGATTACTGGTACTGATTTTTGAATGATGTTGATTACTGTTTGTGGTGATGATAGTCTTGATTGCTATTATTGTCTTACCACAGTGAGACCCTGTCACTACAAAATAAAACAAACAAACAAATACATGGCTGACTTTCAGATGCATGGCTGACTTCAAAGAGAGAAAGAAAAAATAAAATAAAAGAGAAGGCAAAAACTAAAGTAGTGAGTAGGTTTGAAGTCACAGGTGCCCCTGGGGCATTTATCAATCTCAGTAAGCAAGGGACTTGTATTTTAATAGCTACATGAAATCAGGAAATAAGATTTTGAATCCAAATATGGCACAGATTTTGAATATGAGCCCATGTTTAAAGCCAAGTCCCTACATGTCTAATATGCTCAATGAAAGAGTAGACTAGAAAACAGATACATTCTGTTAAAGAGAGATAGCAAAGACCATATGAAAGCAGTGTAATTTAAAAATTCCTAGTCATATCTTCTGATCAACTCAAAATAGACCAGAGACTTAAATGTAAGACTAGAAGCCCTAAAACTACTAGAAGAAAACAAAGGGGAAAAACGAAATAACATTGACCTGGGCAATTGATTTGATTTTATTTGACCCCAAAGTGCAGATGACAAAAACCAAAAAAACACAAAAAACAAACAAACAAACAAAAAAACAAATGGGAAAAGCAAACTGAAAAACAAACTGAAAAGCTTTCTGCAAAGGAAACATGAGTGAAGAGACAATTTATGGATTAGGAAAATATATTTAAAAGCCATACATCTGATAAGGGAGTTAATATTCAAAATATATAAAGAACTCAAACAACTAAATAGCAAAAGAACAAAAACAACTCAATTAGAAAATGAGCATGTGATCTGAAGGGACATGTCTCAAAAGGAGACATACAAATGACCTACTGATATATAAAAATTGTTCAACACTGCTAATTGCATTTGCGCTAGGGAAATGCAAATTAAAATCACACCTGTCAGAATAGCTATTGTCAAAAAGATAAAAGATAAAATGTTGGCAAGGATGTGGAGAAAAGGATACCCTTGTACACTGTTGGTGGGGATATAAATTAGTACAACCATTATGGAAAACTGTATGGAGGTTCTTCAAAAAAACTAGAAATAAAATTACCATATATGGCCGGGTGCAGTAACCAACACCTGTAATCCCAGAACTTTGGGAGACTGAGGGCAGGGGGGGATCACTTGAGCCCAGGAATCTGAGGTTGCAGTGGGCACTCCAGCCTGGGCAACAGAGTGAGACCAGATCTCTAAGTTAAAAAAAAAAATCACCCTATGATCCAGCTACCTTATTTCTGAGTATTTACCCCAAAGATTTGAGATTAATTTGTCAGTAAAGTAAATCACATGACTCCAGTGGTTCAATTAGTTAGTGCATGGTACTGATATAAAATTGTCAAAGAGATCTGCACTCCCATATTCATTGCAGCACCAGTCACAAGAGCCAAGGGGTGGAATCAACCTAAGTGTTCATCCACAGATGAATGAATAAAGAAAATGTGGTATAGATACACAATAAATACTACGCAGCCTTTTAAAATTTTTATTTTTATGTGTTTGGTCAGTGTCTTGCTTCCTCTGTTACCCAGAATAGGGTGCAGTGGCACAGTTCCGTCTCACTACAGTTTTGACCTCCTGGGTTCAGGTAATCCTCCCACCCCAGCCTCCGAAGTAGCTGGGACTACAGGCATACACTACCATGTCAGGATAATTTTTTATTTTTTTATTTTTTGTGGAGATGAGGTCTTGCTATGTTGCTTAGGCTGGTGTCAAACTCCTGGGCTCAAGCAATCCTCCCACCTTGGCCTCCCAAAGTGCTGGGATTACAGGTGTGAGCCATTGTGCCCAGCTGACTATTCAGCTTTTAAAAAGAAGATAATTCTGTCATTTGTTTCAACATAGGTTGGATTGTACATTATGTTAAGTGAACTAAGCTAGGCACAAAAGACAAACTGCATGTTCTTACTTGTATATGGAATCTAAAACAATTCAACTCATAGATGCAGAGAGCAGAAGGTTGGTTGCAACAGCTAGGGGATGAGGGGAATGGGGAGATGAAGGTCAAAGGGAAAAAAATCTCAGAGAGAAGAAATGAGGGTTTTTAAAAAGATCTATTGTGTGGTGTGGTGAATATAGTTAACGATAGCATATTGTACATTTCAAAATGACCAAAGAGTAAGTTTAAAATATTCTCACTACAAAAATAAGTATTTTAGATGATAGATATATTAATTAGCTTGCTTTAATTTTTCCATATTGTATTATAAGTCATAACATAACTTTGTGCAAATAAATACGTAAAACTATAAATTTTAATTTGCAGTAAAAATTTCTCTCTCTTTTTTTTTGAGT